ATTTCATAATATTGCACTAGATACATATAAATTCTATTTCAAATAAAATTTTTTTAAAATCTTTTGAATTTTACAAAAATCTCTAAGAATCCGTTTGATTGTAAATGTGGAAAATAGGTGGAAAGAAAATGAATTTTAGAGAATTGAATTGCCTGAAAATTGTTTTACTGGAAATTGTAATTAATTGTGTTTAATTGGTATAATTTTTCACCTAAAAAATGTTAAAAGTTTGGTATTCGTTTGACTTTGTTTTTCATGAAAATTGTTCATTAAAGTGATAATTTCTTTTACCATTGGATCTAGAATTTGTTTCACTTGCCAAAAAAAAATAAAATTATCATACCGAATACCATTCGTTTGGCTTTGTTTTGTATGTAAATTGTCAATAAAAGTGATAAATTTTTTTATTATTGGGTCTAAAATTTTTCCCAATTACAAAAAAAAAAAAAATGCTGAAAAATGAAAACCCAGGTAAAAGGTGGGAAAACAATTTCAACGAAATGATGGAAAATGTGCACGTGTGAGAGAAAGTGAGAAAAAAATTCCATTGAAAATTTTTCCTATAAAACACTACAAAAGTTGAAAATTCCATGAAAAATGTTGTGTATAAAATGGGGCCTAAAAGTTTTAAAATAAAAGTTTACAAAANCCTAGTATAATACACCAATGGAAATAAAATGAAGAGGAAATTACAAAAAACTAGGCATTTAAATACTGATTTTCAAAAATCAGATCGAAAGTTTAATTATTCAAAAATCAGGTAATAATTTTATATTACAAATTAATTTATATACACACACCCCTACACTATCTAATCCATCCAAACCCTAAAATCAATTTTTCTCCCTCCATTCTCTCATCTCCTCTGCCGTCTCTCTAATCAAGCCGCCGCCAGCCACCACCAACCCGGCCGCCAACATTCTTCCCCGCCTCTCTCTTCCTCTCGTCTCTCCATCTGTCCTTTTCCTCATCTCGCAGCAACGCCACTGAGAGTCGCCGCTCGCAGTGGCGTCGCTGCGATTTGCCGCTCGTAGGAGATTGTGTTGTAACGGTTCACAATGAGGTGGGGTTGATTGTGAGGGGGGGCGATTCGCCGCTCGTAGTGTTGTAACAGCGAATTTCTTCGTGGCAGAATGGGGTCGCCCTTCGTCCATCTCCTAAGCAAGAAAAATCCGTTCAAACTCGACAACCGGCGCTGCAGTCCTTCGTCTTTCCATTTTTGTTTGTTTTTTTTTTTTTTCTGTTGTGGATGTGAGGATGACTGGATGGTGGTGATGTGGTGGTGGTGGAGGCGCCCTTTTTGTTGATGATGGTGAATCTAGCGATTGTGTGGTGGTGGTGGTGGTGGTGGTGGTGGTGTTTTGTGTGGTGGTGGTGAGATGGTAGTGGTCACAAATGATTTGTGTGGTGGTGATGGTTGTTTTGATCTGTAATGGTTCTTTGTTGGGGTGGTCGCTATGGTGGTAGATCGGCGGTTGGGGTGGTGGTGGTGTTTTGTGTGGTGGCCTTTTTTGTGGTGGCGGCTTTTCAGATCAATGCTGTGTACAGTGGTGGTTGGGTGTCGTTGTAGTGTTGGTGGTGTTTTGGTGTTTGTTGGTGGTCCTGGTGGCTGTAATGGTTTCAGCGATGGTCGTGTTGGCGGTGGAGACGATTATGTTGGTGAGGTTGTGGTGATGGCAGTTGTGGTTCTGATGATTTTTGTTAGCAGTGGTGTTGTGATGGTGGCGGGGTGGGATAATGATCTGTGACCAAGTATTTAACTGTGACCTAAAAATTTGACAATATGTGACTGAAAAACTATATGTGACCAACAAATCTGAAAATAAATTACAAATGAAATTAACC